GCCCCGCCCCTCCCGCGCTGCCCTTCTCTTCGAGGCCCTCCCTCCGCTCCTTCCACGCGCCGTTGCCTATCTCAGGCACCAACAGGTGCAGCAGCGCTGGGTGTGGGTCGCCATCCCAGGATGCAGGCGCGCGACGGCAGCACAGCCGGACGCCGGGCCTTCGACAGCATCTGCCCCAACAGGATGCTGGACCTGTCGCGGCGGCCCCTCGGCAAAGTGGGGGAGCCGGAGAGGAAGGTGGGGATGCTCTCTGTGATCCTGGCTCTGGCAGAGTCTGCCAGCCCCGCGTCCCAAACGCTGACCTGAGTTCCTCCTTTCTGTGCCCGGCTAGTTCGTTCCTCCGTGGAAGTCCTTCTCGGGATGCGGTGGCGATAGCCCAGTGTCGGTGTACGAGGATCCCCCTGACTCAGAGCCCGCTGCACTGCCAGGTGAGCCCCGAGGCACCTGCACGACCCCTCAATTATCCATGCCGGGTGGGTGCGGCACACTCGGACCTCAGCCCCTCTCCCCTCTCCCCCGGGCTCCGAGGTCCTGGTTGAGGGCCCTGGCGGCGACCTGGCAGAGAAGCTTAGGGTTCGCTGGGTGCGTGTCTCCCGATCTCCCCGCGCAGCCCTCACCACCATAGACCTGCAGGACCTCGCAGACTGCACCTCGCTACTTGGCTCCGAAGCGCCGCCTAGTGGTGATTCTTCCGCCTCGCAGGTATTCTTTCCCTTGCTTTGGATCTTGGTCACTCACAGACCCAACAGCAAAAGTGGTGGGTTTATTTCCTCAAGGTCTCAAGATGCACTGGAAGCACAGGCACATTCAGCATATTTCGGGAAGCCAAGCATCCCAGATCCCAATTTTCTCCTCCCTCCTAGTATGTGATTAAGTTCAGAGCCGGTTTGGCCAACTCTTACTGCAGGGCCCCTTTGTTATTCTACTGAACAAGGCAGGCAGTCCGGAACTGGTGGGCCAAGGAACCATGCGAGTGGGCACAAGCTCACAGAATAACTATTGTTTATCACCCACTTCTGGCCCTCCGGAGCCATTTATATTTCGTGGGTACTAAAGGAGTATCGAAATCACAGAGGGAAAGGACAAAGGACTCAATAAACAAGCTGGTGGAAAACATTCTGTCTGCAGAGATGGGCATTTGGCAGCTAGCTCCCAACATTCTAGTCCCTTACTAGTCTTGTCTCTAGTCCCATCTTGGGGAAGAGAGACTTTCCCTCCTTTCACTATAAACCTTCTTCCTACTTCTGCTTCCTACTTCTTCCATTTCTGCTTCTTGCCATCTCAGTACAACCCAGCCAGAGAATGGAGCCTCTGAGCTCCCGGGCCTCAGAGGTCAGGGACTTGATTCTTTGGTGGGACATGAAGTGCCTGGAAGGACAGGTGGTCTTAACCAGATGAAACCCATGGGAAGAGTACTACTTCAGGTCTCCTAATAGCAGGTTGTGGGACCACAGGTCCATGGGAACAGGCCCAGTACAGAACTGCAGAAATTTATGACCACCATGAAAAAGTAGCTGAGCAGCATATCTGAGCCAGTCGTTTACCTTAGGAAGAGCTCAGGGTACAGGCGGTGCCAAGAAACAGAATCTTAAGGCAAGTGACCTTAAGATTAAGTGAGTGAACACTCCCTGCAGAGGCTGCTTAATTCTCTTTAGATCTGATGCTCACCTGACCCAGAGTCTTCAATGTCCTACAGACGTTGAGGTCATCTGTCCATGTTTTTTTTTTTTTTTTTTCCATGAGGGAATCTGTTACTTTGAAAATAGGATCAGAAAAAAGGTTAGAGTCAGGGTAAGTTTTGATTTCCCAAATTATATGGAAAGAAGGGATTTAGGGAGAACAAAATGATTAATACAAAGAATCAATAGTGGGATCAGTAGATATTTCTGGTGGGTGTCTGGGATGGATCCCCTCACACCATGGTCCTAGAGATTACTTTCCCCTTTCTAACACTGGCCTCCAAGGACTATGAAGCTGCAGGAGAGAGGAATGAAATAGGCATGACCATGCCAGCCTGGTCACCAGGCCTTGGGCAATTCATCTTCTCCAGGATTCTCTCTTAAAAAGAAGAGGAAGAAGTGGCCTGTGGACCCAGCTACTTTACACATGTGTGTGTGTGTGTGTGTGTGTGTGTGTGTGTGTGTGTACACACATGCGTAAGAGATTATGTAAATAGGAAAATGTCCATCCCTTAAGAAAATAGGAAGATGCCTGGACCCCCACCCTTTTACCATTTCCTTCTCTCTCAGACACCTAGAAACCCTGGTCAGGCAGCATGGAGGTATATCCCATCCTAGGTGAAATCCAACTCTAACTTTTAAAGAAACTGAAAAACAAAAACAAAAACACAAAAACCCACCACCACCACCAACAACAAAAAACCCCAAAACAACAACACACACAATAGACACAATAGCTGCTACAGCCCCTTAAACAGATACCTTTCCATAGTATCCCTGGCATCGTTGGCCATAGCCCCACCCTTCCCTTTTCTTTTATGGGTGAAGTGGTTAGCACTTTAAGCCTACACTTTGGAGGCCTTGGTGTCTATGCTAGTGTTAAAACCAAGCTCTCTGCTCTTAGAGAGGTAAGGCTGTGGGAGTGGCTTAAGTTGGAACTGCAGTTCCATAGGTGTACAAAGAATATCAATAGGAGTCAGCATGGCTGCCTGATAACCCACCTGTGAGACAGCTCAGATGGGCTGTCCAAATCCCAGCTGGGCTGGCAGGGGATGGACTGCTGAGCCTGTGGTATTTGAGGTTTGCTGGAGCAGAGCTCACACTTGCCAGCCCAAAGGAAACCTACTGTTCTGGGGGGGGGGACGGACGGACACGAAGCTTAAATTTTCTGATTGTGAACCAGAGTGCATGCAGACTAGCCTTAGAAACTTCAAGGACATCTGACTATCTAGAATTGTTCTCTAGAGCCCAGACTCAGTGGTGACAGGCTCACACGGTTGCTTTGTTCTAGAACCACTCCTTGCAAACTGAAGAAGATTTCACCCTGCAGAATTTCAGAGACACAGTGGATGACCTCATTGCAGGCAAGTGCAGACTCTTTGCAGTTAAATGACAGTAGGGATGTCACCTGCCAAAATTCAGATTGTGTCATCACAATCTGTCACTGGCCAGCCACTCTTTAATCAAGGGATCAGATTCTCCCTAATTGAGAATACCCTCTCCCTGCAATGGGGAAATTATGTCGTGTGGTCTTTAGGCTATGGGTTTCACAGTGTGGATTCTGGGAATGAGGTCCCCATACTGTGATGTGGCGGGACAGAAATTAAATAATAGGGTTCTACAGAGGAACAAAACCTTGTATGGCTACCAGGTCCCAAAAGGTTTGCCTGATTTCTTTCAGATTAGCTCAGCAGGTGCATATGAACAAAACAGAAAGACCAGGGACCACACGCTTTGCCTTATAAAGAAAAAACTCATACAAACCTAATGTCTGGGTGGCATTTTGCACCTGTGGCTAGTTGAGCACAACCTGGAGGCAGCCACTCCAGCTTTTGCTTTCTCCCAGATTCATCCTTTGATGTCACCTCCCCTGACAGATGGTGACTTTCCCTTTTCCCCTTGCGATGTTTCATCTTTTGGGTCTTGCCTCTCCCCATCGCTGGACCCACCTGCCCTGGGATCTCCGCCACCACTACCCCCACCACCCTGTGCTCCAGACCTGCCGCCACCGCCACTGCCACCGCCAACCGAGCAGTACTGGAAGGAGGTGGCCGACCAGAATCAGAGGGCACTGGGGACTGCTCTCATAGAGAATAACCAAGTGAGGACGCCAGTGGTAGGAATCTTGGGGTGGGGACAGGGCCTGGTATACAGCACAAGTTGGGAGTTGTAAAGGTTGGGGTGCTCTTATGTGGACCCAGTGTTTTTAACAGTCGGTATTGTTCCAGCGGTCCAAACTGGCTCTAAACTCGCTAAATCGAGAGGATTGCATCCCACCAGAATTTCTTTCTCTTTTTTTGTTTTCCTCTTCTTCCTCACCCCCTTTCTTTTCTTCTAGAGTCAGGGTCTTCTGTAGCCCAGGCTGGCCTCTAACTCCCTATATAGCAGAAGGTGACCTTGAACTCCTGAACCTCCAGACATGCATCACCATTTCCGGTTTATGGGGGTATGAGGGACCTAATCCAAGACTTCATGCATAAATACTCCACCAAAACAGAGCTACATTTCCACCCCTATCTTTTTCATGAACTTACCATGGAGCACACACAGTCTTGCCTGGTTTTCCTGCCTCGGTTTTCCTTAGTTCTGGGATTACAGGTGTGTACCACTGCTCTGAATTCCAGGTTAGTAATAGTACTAACAATATTTATGGAAAGTTTTCTATGTGCCCAACTCTGTGCTTATCAATTTACTTTCTTCTCTCACTTAGTACAACACAGATGCTAGACAATCTCACTAGCCCCATTTTATAGATGAATAAAACTGAGACATAGGGTGGTTGAACTTCAGAAGGAGAACCTAGACGAGTCTGTTGTCCAAATCAGTACTCCTGGTTACCACCCAACAATTCACCAAAGATTTTTTCTTTTAAAAAATTTATTTTTCATTTTACATACCAACCCCAGTTCTACCTCCCCTCTTGTCCTGTCCCCACCTCCCTTCCACCGCTCACACACTCCTCAGAGAGGGTAAGGCAATCCTTGGGGAGTCAACAAAGTCTAGGATACCAAGTTGAGGCAGGACCAAGCCCCTTCCCCCTATATCAAGCCTGAGCAAGGTATCCCACCATAGGAACTGGGCTCCAAAAAGCCAGTTCGTGCACCCCGCATAGGTGCTGGTCCCACTGCCAGCCTCCAGCCCTCAGGATCAAGCCACATAACTCACCCACCTTCAGAGGGCCTAGTTGGGTCCCACCCATGCAGGTTCCCCAGCTGTCAGCCCATAATCCGTGAGCTCCCATTAGTTCGAGTCAGCTGTCTCTGCAACACACTAAACTTTAACTGAAATACAGTTCGTTACAACTACTACGTTTTTGGTTTATTTGACTTTAAAAAAAAATGGCAACTGTCAGGCGAACAAAGACCCGTGGGTCCTCGGTCCTGATGATGTGTTGGGGTCTGAGTTTAATTCCTGAAGAGTAGACCTAGCACTGTGGCTTCTGTCTGATGTTAGATGTCCTACTGCAGCTGCACGTGACGCTGACGCAGAAGCAGGAGGAGATCGCCTCGCTCAGGGAGAGGAACGTGCAGCTGAAAGAACTCGCCAGCCGGACTCGGCACCTGGCCTCGGTGCTGGACGTGAGTGGGCATGCGCGCGGGACCCGTCAGAACTGCAGCAGTGCGCCTGGGCTGGGGTCCCGGGGTGTCCCATGTGTAGCGCGCCCGAGGTGCTTTCTGCCCGGGCGGCTCCAAGCGAGCCACCCTGACTCCAGGGCTCTTCATCTTTTACAGAAGCTGATGATCACACAGTCCCCAGCAGAGCCCTTCCAGATCAAGGCGACGACGAAAAGGAGTCTGGAGGAACTGTTCTGTGCAGCGGGTCAAGAAGGTCAGGGTTGCTCGGAAGTGGACGCCATCCTCAGGGACATCTCCCAGCGCTGCGATGAAGCCTTGCAGAACCGCGACCCCAAGCGGCCCCGGCTGCAGCAAGAGCCAGGCAGCAAGAACTGCAGCTCCAGGAACCTGCATGGTGCCTTCCGAGGGCTGCGCACCGACTGCAGCGCCAGCTCGGTGAACCTGAGTCATAGTGAGCTGGAGGAGGGCGGCTCCTTCAGCACGTCCATCCGCAGCCACAGCACCATCCGAACTCTGGCCTTCCCTCAAGGCAAAGCCTTCACCATCCGGACAGTCACCGGTGGTTACAAATTCCGCTGGGTCCCCAGCTGAGCAGGGATGCGGTTTCCCCCAAAACACTGCCCTGTGTCCAGACGGAAGCATCTGCAAGCCAGTGGGAATAGCTAGAACTGTGTTCCCATAGCTGGTTTCGAGAATTCTCTGAAAGTGAATGCCATTCTGAAACTAATTTTCAGGAACAAAAATGTTCCTGAACCGGTGATACCTGTGCACTGAAAAGGTCTGCCCTAAGCACTGTCTATATTCCTCACGGTTTCGCAGTGAAATTGTGTAAGTGTGTATATGCATGCATACGTGCTACAATACACGCACATCACGGTCCAACCTAGAAGTTTATTTTCTAGCGCTTTGGTTTTTTACTTGTTTGAGACAGGTGTCACGCAGCCCAGGCTGACCTCAGATTTGCTGCTTTGGTGGCTTTGAACCCTTCTGCTCCCACCTCCTGAGCGTTGGGATTACAGGTGCTTACCACCACATTTAGCTGATTTTAGCTGTGTTTTAAAATCATGGAATGTTCCAGATTTGTAAGAAGGAAGGATAGTACAAAGAAATTATCCCCCCCACCCCCAACTAAAGGGTCTTTCTTGGAATCATTCAATCACCAGTCACATGCAGATTATAGGCCCAGAAACCTGGTATCTAGATGAGTGTTTCAACACATCTGGCTCAATTTCCCTGGCTTTGGAGTTCATCTGTGTCACTACTGAAGCATTTCATTTCAGTTGCGGAGAGAGAGAGAGAGAGAGAGAGAGAGAGAGAGAGAGAGAATAGGCAATGCTACACAATTAGGTAAATGCTGATGCAGAACAGGTCAAACACATTTGTTTAAATAACCACTCCCCATAATTTGGTAAGATGTGTAACATTGGGGCTGGAGAGATGGTTCAGCAGTTAAGAGTGCTTGCTGCTCTTGCAGAGGACTGGAGTTCAGTTCCCAGCATTAATTTAGATGGCTCCAGACCCAGGGGATCTGACATCTTCTTCTGGCTTGTGTGGGCACCTGCAAACTCCTAGGATAGACACACACACACACACACACACACACACACACACACACACGCAGAGAGAGAGAGAGAGAGAGAGAGAGAGAGAGAGAGAGAGAGAGAGAGAGAGAGAGAGAGAGAGAGTTGCTTTTTAAGGATTTAAATGGCAATGTCTCCATGCATCCAGCTTTATCAGTGCAAACAGAACAACCACAGCCAAACCAAACTTATTCAGGAAGAAAGGCCGTTTTTGTTGTTGCTGTTGTTTTTTAAATGCTAGCAATTTTTTCTCTTGTGTTCATTTGTGTTTTGCCTGCATGTATGTCTGTGTGAGGAAACTGGAGTTACAGTTATGAGCTGCCATGTGGGTGCTGGGATTTGAACCCAGGTCCTCTGGAAGAATAGTCAGGGCTCTTAACCATTGAGCCATCTCTCTAACTCGAAAGGCTTATTGTTTTAAGCAAATGATTACACTACACAAACTCGGCCACTCACTGTGCTTTATGCTATGTGGCTGGATCTTCTAAGCAAAATTTAGTGAACTTGGCTTTGAGTCTTCTCTTCCTATTGTCTTTAGTTCCTTTTTCCCACTCTGTTCTGAAATGACATGAATGGCATATGTCACACGTGATTCATCTCAACCACCACAATTCTCACCCTGAGGTTCCCCCTGCTCTCTGGGCTCAGCTTGGGCAAGCCTCCAGACACATTGCATCACAGTGCATAGCTACCTCTTCAATCTGAGTGGGCATATCGGGTAGCAGGTGGGTTGGTTAAGGTGGCAAGACCCGCTTCTCCAGTTTGTCATGTGTACTGTTATCTGTATTTAAATAGCCACTTAGAAACAAAAAAATTGATAAAAATAGACCATATTTCCTCATATTTTGTCTAACAAATGCACTGAAAAAGTGGTTTTTTTCGATTTTCTCCCCATAGGCTCAAATATACAGTTCTCACAGATCAGCATCATAAAAAACAAAACAATAACAAAGCCAAAATGAAATAAATAAAACTTTTTAAACCTGTCATGACAAACAATGGCCTTCCCGCTCTTTGATTCTCATGCTGAATTACCTTCAGTGACCACAATATATTTGTAGGTTTCATTTATATATTTATATCTTGTGCCTAGACTTTAAATAATCACACTGCTTTTGCCTTTCATCCTATAGGTCTATAATCACCATGTAGTGACCAGCAGCTCTGTTTTTTTTTTTTTACCACTTTTAAATATATCTATTACTTTTAGAAATTCACACATGTATACAATGTATTTGATCATATTCACCCTTATTCCTCTCCCCAACTCCTTTCAGGTCTATCCCCATTCCTCACCCCATCTTAATTTGCCATGTTCTTCCTCTTCCTCTTCCTCTTCGGTAAAACCCACAAGTTCAATTATCCTTCATCCTGGAGGAGAAAATGCTCTCTTTTGAACTAGTGACACAAAAGAGAAACTGCATTAGTACATAGTAGAGTCTAAAAACTAGATTCTTTGCTCTACCATATTTATTGAAAATTGATGGGAATCTCTTTACCACAGAATCTAAGAAAACAGTCTAAGAACAGAATGTATAATTTCTTTTCTAGGAAGAGATAACTAACAGCAAAGATGGGGAGGAAAACGAAGAAGGGTGAGGAGAGGGACTTAGCTTGGGCAGCATACAAGACAGGCTGGAAGCATAAGCAACAGATGTTTATTTTTCACAGTTTTGGGCCTGAAAGTCTGAGATCAAGATGGAAGATCCTTAGCTTCTTCTCCTTGGTTTGCCTATCACTTGTTATTGCTGGAAAAATAACTTGGTTGGGAAGAGTTCAGGTGTCTTCTTAAAGAGGTCTAACCCCATCATGTTGCAACCTGTAACCATCTTTGGAATCTAATTACCCCACCCCCAATCTTCAAATACAATCACTTTAGGAGCTAGGACTCACTTAAACAGAGGAGTTTGGGGGAGACATAGGTATTCAGTTTATAGCAGATGGTGACTTTTGGGGGGAAGCAGGAGGGCACTAGTTTAGATGAGGTAGTCTGGCCAGGAAAAGTCACTCTAGGTAACGTTTGAGGGCTTAGGGTATGGATCTTGGTAATGATGGTAAAGAACTTGCCTGGTGCGTGAGGCCCGGGATTTGATCCCAGCATCTACCAAAGAACATAACAAGAGAATTTGAACAGAGACCCGAGGAAGCTTGGGAATGAACATTATGGATGTGTAGGTGAAGTGTGGCCTAGGCAGAGGGAAAGGAAATGTATAGGCCCTGGGGTCAGAGAGCTGCCTGGCTTGGTGGGCAGTAAGAATGCTAGTGGGACTAAGGCTGAGTGAGCTTGGGGGTAGGCACTGAGTAGAGGGTTAGTAGAGCCTTTCTAGATGTTGTGAAGACATCTGGATCATTGGGAATGAAATGGGAATCTGTTAGGGGCTTCTCATTGAAGAGTCACATGAAATCACGTTAACTTCATTTCCTCACCGTGATGGAGGTCAAGCCCTTGCTTGCATGCTAAGGAAGTACTTACCGAGCTATGTAACTATTTTTTTTTTTTTTTTGAGACAGGGTTTCTCTGTGTAGCTTTGTAGACCAGGCTGGCCTTGAACTCACAGAGATCCACCTGCCTCTGCTTCCCGAGTGCTGGGATTAAAGGCATGTGCCACCACTGCCCAGCTGACTCAATCATTCTTAAAAAGATGTATATCCATCCTTTACAGACACCTACCTGTTCAAATTTGTGTAGGTAACAACAATTTCCAATATTTACTTTTAAGTTGCTTAATCAGAAACTAGGTAAATCAAATATGACAATTAATTGTGATTATTTTTGTACTGGAAAAAGAAATCCATAGATTTGCTCAGGGTTTATGTGAACAGCCAAGGAAGAATTAGAAACTGCTCTTAGTTATAGAATGTGGAAATTTCAATTATTTCTAGAACATTCCATGGTTGAAAGTAAATACAGATGAATATCAAGTTCTGTGAGAGGTAAGAATAGCTTTGAGCACTATTTTACATTGTGTAAAATAACACCCACTTCTCCAGGCTTCAGGATTTGTAGTGCTTTTATTTCTTCAAAAAATACAGATTCCTACTGCTGAAGACAACTCTGGTGTTGCTTTCCAAATTCACAGAAGTTCCCTCTTTTCTGGAACAGACTTAATTGCACAGGGATAGGTGTGTTTGGTCTGGGTTGCTCTCTACTCTGTCTTCTTCCAGCCATCCCCACCATAATCACCTGCACCATCTATGTCCCCACCAACAGTTGACTCAGATCCCCTGAGGCATAATTCACACATTACACCTTTCACCTATTTGGAGTTTATTATTCAATGTTTTCAGTATACTCACAGGTTTGAAATTACCCTTACCATCTAATTTTAGAATATTCTTCTCCCCAAAGACAATCCTACTGTTATTAGCAGCCACTTTTTATTCCAGTCTTTTGGTTCTGGGAAACAACTAGTCAATTTTCTGTCTCTATAGATTTGCCTATTTTTAATATGTAATAGAGATTATATCATACAATATGTGGACTTCTGTGGCTGACTCCCTTCAAGCATCATGATGTTTTCAAGGTCCATCTGCGTTGTGACACATACGAGTACTTCACTTTTTATGTTTGTGTGTGTGGTGTGAATGTGTGACTCTTCCCTTGTTTGTGGGTACATGTGAGTGTGCATGTGCGTGTACACCCAGTGTTGATGTTAGGTTTCTTCCTCAGTGGCTCTCCACTTTGCACACTGAGGCAGAGTCTGCCAATTGAACTTGAGTTTGCCAATTTTACTATTCTAGCTAGCCAGCTTGCTCCAGAGATGCCCTGTCTTCACCTCCTGACTGATGGTTTACAGGGCTTTATGCCTGCCTGGCCTTTTCCTGAGTGTGGAGGATCTGTACTCCAGTTCTCAGACTTATGAGGTTGTCCGTTGAACAGATGGCTCTATTTCTTTTTTCATCACACCTAAAAATATTTTTATGGTGAAAATATTTTAGATTCTTGTCAAATGCTTTATTTTCTATGAGATAATGCACATTTTTGTCTTTTGTGCTATTATTGTTACCTTGTCAGGTCCCAGAGATTCTTGATATAAGCCAAGCCAATAAGAAATTCTGTTTTGTTTATTTTTAGAAAACTACATTTAGGACTGAGGAGCTGAGAGATTTGTAGCCATTTTGATAAGTCTAAGAACAACAACTTGGTAACATAGAACTTTGGAGGTAAGCACCGTTTTGGAAGGGGTCTGCGGTGGAGTGTTCCTGGTAGCGGCCATCAGTGAACAGAGCCCTGA